ATATATTGGGTTGTCCGGAAAGTTCATGCCGACTAACCTATATAATTTAATAAATGTATACTAAAATTTAAATTTTCTGCATTTAAATTTTCCTTCAACATTGGCACGAACTTTCCGGACAACCCAATACATAAAACATAATCTCTTATACTACTATCTATACTACTATCTATTCTACGTATAAAACATATTGTACACCATAAATTTTTCTGTCATTTAATAATTGATTAAAGGAATAAGCAATCTTTAACAAATAAATATTGCAACAATTTATAAATTTGCAAATAATTTAACAGACAATTCTACAGATAGTTCTACAGTTAATTTAACACACATTTAACTCTCTGATGCAAATAAAACTATTGAAATATGTATTTACCTTGTCTCTCGAAATTTCAGTATTTGCCACTTTCAGTAGGCACATGCAAGCCAGAGTGCAGCAAAGATATTTGGTAATCTGCGTAACATAACAAAGTATTAATTACAAATGAAACAAGATATTAACACGTAAAGCTATTTCGATATTTTTCGTAAAAACACTGTGAATGTATGTACTAAAAATAACAATTCACACACAAACACACACACACGCACGCACGCACGCACGCACGCACGCACGCACACACGCACACACGCACACACGGTGTGCACTCTGAACGAATGATTTACAACAAATGTCCGCGTTACATAAGCATCAGAATTCATAAATTCCATGCTTAAGCTGCTTAACATCAAAGATTAATATTATAATAATGGTTAATTAACTATTAGCTTAGTTGTTACGTTATTTGAAACGCCATATAAAATGCATTCAATTCGATTTAATTAACTCAACGGAGATAATCGATAACGATTTCGTATTACCATTTTTGTAAATGTAACATGCATCGCAGAAAATTAAAATTGATTTGCATAATATAAAAATAAAAAATAAGACTTACGTCATCGTTTCTGGTATTTAATATAATATGCAACTGTTCTTATAAAAATAATCGTATTAGCATTTGTTATTTTACTGACAATTATGAGAGCGCCGGTATCCGTACGTCAAACATTTTTTATTATCATACAATATTTTCATAATATGCATAATTCCAATATTTACATATTTTTTAAATTAAGAGTGATTTTTGTAAGTTTATTAGACAAAGTTTATACACCGTTATTTTTCACATTTTAATATTAAATGTATTACTAGATGAATTAAATTTTAAAATATAACTTTTCAAATTATAAAAAATAGGATATAATAAAGTTTGATATATAGCATAGAGAATAATATTATAATATAT